TTATTTATTTATTTACTGTATTTATTTAAGGAGTAGGCAGCAATTCATGCCCTGACGATGGGACTCTCCTGATTTTAAGCTGTAGCTCACCAATTGTCCAGTGTTCATCTGCCCAGCATATACTGCATGATAGCTGACTGACACAATTTTTTTTCAGCACAACTCTTCTAGGAACTTTTCTCGGGTTGCAGCCCCTCCCATCAAATAAGGATACAACATCAATAGATATCTTTCAGAAACTTTCCACATTTTTCAGTCTGTGGCCACTTCCCAATGTGTCAAAGCCCACTCCTAGGAGGCCAATGGGTCTCTGTTTAAAACGGCTGGACAAGATACATGCATTTCACAGAAACAAGAAAATGTAGCACCTTTATTTTACCATAAACAGTGGAAGATTAAGGGGATGATGTTTCAGCATTTTAAATGTGTGAAAGATATCAGAAGCAGAGGAAGAAAACTGATTTCTATGTCTGAACATGTTTTCAAGGAAACAAAAAAGCTTAGGTTGCTCTTGAAATGTTCCACTGTACAGTCTACAGTTCTATTGAACATATATGGATTTAATTGCTGATTACTGCCATGAGGTTTCTTTCTGTGGCTTGTTTCCAGTGCTTCTGTTAGGAATGTCTTGATAAGGTAAAGCTCACAGTTACACTAATACATTTTTGGAAGAGAAACTGATGTGAAGGAATGAGATCCTTGTTATCTGTTGAGAAGTGTAAATGTTGTGTGTTCTCTAGTGGACCTGGTAGAGAGGTTCTTGTTTTTTCTTGTTGAGATATACTGTACAAAAACTGATTGAAATACATCCTGATTTCTGACTCTTTTTCTGGGAAGGCTATGTGATGCTTACACTGATTGGAAAGTCACAATAAAGCCAGAAACTTCACAGTTAGAAATGAGATCCTACCATTTCTTTCAATTTTCCTATCTACAACAGTGCATTTTTTAAATTACATCATGTTAAAAAATGATGGTTATGGTTAGAGATGGGCACAAATCACCAGTTTGGTGGTTTGGCCCAGTTCATTTACCAGTCCCACAGCTGTTCTGCAGTTCGGCACCCCACCCCATCCGGCAGGTGCCCACTCAGAAGCAGCATCCTGGCTTCCTTTTCCCGCCTCCTCTGGATGCTGCCTCTGAGTGGGTGCCTGACAGAGGGGGCAGGGCTCCAAACTACTGAACACCTGTAGGGTTGGTCAATGAACTGGACTCAACCATTGAACTGACAGTTCCTGCCCATTTCTAGATACAGTTTTTAAGAGTTGTTTCTATAGGATGCTTTTGAAAACCTTTTCAAATTGCTACACAAGCACTTAATATTCCAATACAGTATATGCTACCCATTTCTGTGCAAATGTAATTGTCAATGGAGCTACCTTTTCCCCTTTCTTGCATATGCTAGAGCCTTCTTCAGCCCTTTTACCATAAGAGGCTGTTGCATCTAGGAATTGTGGGTGAAAGGGAGATTTGAAATGTTTCTGTATAAAAACAATCTTCACTCTTGCACTAATAAGAATTAGACACAGAACATATTTTGGATGCACACCTCCAAAATGCACACTAGGGCAAAAGCTCAGCATTTTAACATGTACAGTGGTGCCTCGCATTACGAGCGCTCCATTTTACGATGAAATCGCTTTACGTTGAAGGTTTTGCGATCGCAAAAGTGATCGCAAAACAATGTTTCCTATGGGGGAATTTCACTTTGCGATGATCGGTTCCCTGCTTCGGGAACCGATTCTTGCAAAGCGATGATTTTCGGCCAGCTGATTGGCGGTTTCAAAATGGCAGCCGGGTAAAAAACATGGTTCCCCGCTGTTTTCTGGGATGGATTCCTTGCTGCACAGGCAGCAAAATTGGCCGCGCTATGGAGGATCTTCACTGGATGGTGAGTTCCAAGCCCCTAGGAACGCATTAATCGGATTTTAATGTGTTTCTGTGGGCTTTTTAATTTCATATTATGACGTTATCGTTCTACAGTGATTTCACTGGAACGAATTAACGTCGTAATGCGAGGCACCACTGTATTCAAATTGGAAGAACAGTGAAATTATGCTTTTACTACACTATTGCCAGGCCTTTAAGCCTTTCTTTTAAAAGAGCTGTGTTGAATATTCTTAGATACTTATAAGAACGTTTATTACAGACTGAAAGCCACTATACAACAGGATTCTGAAGGCATGTCTGGAGTTCACAGTATGTTTTCCAACCTATTATACAAGCATTATGCCTCTCATATAACAGATATATAACAATTAGATACACTTATTGATTAAATTGAACTAAGAAGAATAATCATGCTAGGTAGACAGAAAGATAGAAACATTTATGCTATTCAATATTGCTGCAATTTTTTAACAATATCAAAACAGAGGGTGAGGGTTAAGGCACATTTCCTGCTTTTAACTACTTTTTTTTAAAATATATTCTTCAACATTTTGGAGAACAAATTTGTAAATGAAGTCTGTTGAAAGCCATGCAGTGGCTAAAATCCTGTTCATATACTGTAAGTTTGATAGCATAAGGCTAATGGTGGCATCAGCCAGGGCAATTTTTCGAAAATGAAATCTTTCCCCTTCCTGCCATAAAGCTCCTCTGGGTCTCAGGTACAGTAATCCCTTTCATCCTTTGGAAGCCATGGGGGCTAAGGAACTGGAGGGGTAAATCTTGAATTATCAAATATAGCTGATGCTGGAATGCCTTTAGCACTGATGGTAAGTTTTAAATTTTGATAATTAAAGACCTCCCCCTCCTATTTCTCAGCTCTGAAGAGTTCCAGACAATGAAAGGTATTATTCAGGACTGTAGGGGAAGATAGTTTATTTTCCAAAATATTGCCCTGGTTGATGGCACCATCAGCCTTATGCCGTGGAACATACACAAACAGGATCCTTTCTTCATCATCTGTATATGCAAACGTATTTGCATACATAAAATGAGGAATTGATATTAAATAATTTGAATTATATAAATGACTTCTTTTTAAAGCTATGCATAATACAGTATATTGCTTATATACTTAAGGGAATATTTATTTGCCAGAATATTCTCCAGTATTCAATTTATGCACACATCCCTGTAGCATAAGACTTAAATGTATTTCTTAGGGCCATTTGGATTAGTGATTTTCTTGCACAATGGTGATGAATTTCTTTGTTGTTAATCATTGACTTCTAAACATTGTAACACAGGACATGAATTTAGGAATTATGATTGCATCATTATAGTATGCTTGCTGCATATTCTGTGTAACGTGAATATCAAAATAGTTTCCCTTTTGCTATTTTGTGAACTATTTCAGTTTTGCACTTCTCTAAGGTAACTGTGTGGTAAAACAATTGTTTGCAAGCCATGCATTTTTGTTGTATGATTCCTGCTAGAAATATTTAAGGAGATACAGATGGGAGGATACTAAAAGGAAGAGCAAGCAGGACCATGGTTATCTCCATCTTCCCATCAAATAATCTTTTTGCCATTTGCTACGTTTGACCACCTTATAGACTCTCCCATAATGAAGTCAGTGCATTTTGGAAAGTACTGAATGCCTTATGGAACCAAGCATTGCTTTTCTTTCCAATTTGGGACCATCTGATTGATGAGAAATTTAGCAGAATAATTTTTTGAGTATTTCTTTAAAATCTTTAAGTTCATTGAAGTCTTGAAGTTTTAAAACTATTGACTTGCAGAATATAATCAAATACAGAGAGA